GGGAAAGGGGTTGGGGGGGGTGGGAAGAAATAAACCAAAGAACTTATATGCATAACCAATGGACACAGACAATAGTGTGGGAAAAGGCGGGAGGGGGGCGGGAGGGGGGCGGGAGTGGGGAGGAGGGGGTCAATGGGGGAAAAATGTGGAACATCTGTAATACATTCTACATTCAACAATAAAGATTTAAAAATTAAATAAATAAAATAAAAAAAGAAAAATACAGGTCATGTTGTAATCAGTAAACGAGCAAGAGCCCGGGAAGAATGCTGCCCAAGCCCTGGCCGGTTTGGCTCAGCGGTTAGAGCGTCGGCCTGCGGTCCAGAGAGACCCGGGTTCGGTTCCCGCTAAGGGCATGTACCTTGGTTGCAGGTTGTCCCCGGCCCTGGTTGGTCGTGCGGGTGGCAGCTGCTCAATGTGTCCCTTTCACATCGATGTTTCTCTCTCTCTCCCCCTCCCATTCTATCTGAACAAAAAATGGAAAGGTGTCCTAGGGTGAGGATAAAAAATAAAAATACAAAATAAAATAAAATAAAGAACGTTGTCCAATCTGTGATCGTTCAGCTTCACCTTCTCTCGTCTTGGCCGGAAGCCTTCAGAGTGACACACGGTGTGCCTTCCTGCTGCGTCACAGAGCGTGATCCATCGGCTGATCACTGCACCTCGGGAACGGCTGGACGGCGGACAGGCCCGGGCGCTGGCCCGCTCCCTGCACTACCCCGTTCCCTACCAGCCTTTGCCTAATGAATCTAGCAGCTGGTGACAATGCTCGTGGCCTGGATTTATTCCTTCGGCAGGGCTTTGAGAGAGGTGACTTTCTAATGTAACGATTTCTCCTGCACTTAGCCACTGCGGTTCTCCCCTAGAGGACCTTTCCCTCAGCAATCACTTGGTTTCCCTGAAACAGGTCCAGAGAGAAAACGGCAGGATAAATGCCAGGGAAGGAGGCCGCAGCCGCGAGTAAGGCAACCGGAGGGAACAACTAGCCAGTTCCAGATCCCAGTAAACTCTATAGAACAAAGGACTAAGCTCTCCAATAAATGTTCTTCTTTTTAAAGAAAGAAAAAAGGAAGACAAAACTGTTAGAGATAAACAGAGACTTGGGACACGTGATCCAAATGCAATGCATGGGCTCTGGGATCCTGATTTGAGCTAGCCCCTTGTAAAAACTCTTTTTTTTTTTTTGCAACAGGGGAAAAGTGAACATGAATAAGGTATTAGATTATATGAAGAAACCGTTATTAATTTTGTTGGGTGTGGTTGTGGTGGTGTTAGAGATACATACTGAGGTATTTATGAGTAAAATGAAACAATGTTTTAAATTTGCTTTAAAATAGACCAGCAAGCCCTGGCCAGGTGGCTTGGTTGGTTGGAGTGTCGTCCTGTACACCAAAAGGTTGTGGGTTTGATTCCCAGTCAAGGCCCAGGTTGCAGATCCCATCCCCAGTTGGGGCGCATACGGGAGGCATATTGATGTTTCTCTCTCACATCGATGTTTCTCTCTCTTTAATCAATAAAAATTTATCTTCAGGTAAGGATTTAAAAGAAAAAAAATACACCAGCAAGGTAAATAAATGCAGACACGGAGACACAGAACAATGGAGTGTGGGTCATGCTGAATCTGGGTGATGGGTGTGTGGAGGTGATTTCTACCATTCTACATTTGTGCACGTTTCAGAGGAAAACATTAAATTAAAATAATTATATCGGCCCAGCCGGTGTGGTTCAGTTGGTGGGAGCATCTTACCAAAAAGTTGCCGATTCGATTCCCGGTCAGGGCACATAACCTGGGTTTTGGGTTTGGTCCCCGGTCAGAAGGCAACCGATCGACAGTCTGTCACATCAATGTTTTGTTTTTTTTCCCTTTCTCTCTCTCCTCCTCCCTTCCTCTCTCTAAGCATGTCCTCTGGTGAGGATTAAAAAAAAATTATATGAGTTGAATTTACACTTTAAAGTTTTTTCATATTTCTTCCCACAGATGATTCTAAATGTCCGTCCCAGGTCCCGCCCTCCCTTGCCCTGGCCCGCTGTCCCATCTTGGTTTCGACCCTGTCCCATATCTGCAATCGGGCCTTAGAGTTTCAGACACGGGCGGTCAGTTCCCCGGAGCTCCCAGGACATACTGGTCTGGGAGGGCAGGAGAAAGCCTCAGGTGGTCTGGGCTCCGGTCCAAGTGAAAATCCTTCACGCAAAAGTCGTCAGTACCCGTTCCTATCTCTCCTCCCGACACCTCTCTCAAATCAGTTGTGCGGAAAGGAGCTCTGTGAATGCTAAGGCTTAAGTCCAAATAAAGATGAGCTTTTATTAATATAATAAAAGCAAGCACCACTTAATTCCTTTTTTTTCTAGTGCATTTCACCCAGAGTTAAAAATCACCGTGGTCCGGCCGGTGTCGCTCAGTGGCTGAGTGTCGACCTGTGCACCAAGAAGTCACCGGTTTGATTCCCGGTCGGGACACATGTCCAGGTTGTGGGCCTGATCCCCAGTGGGCATGCAGGAGGCAGCCAATCAATGTTCTCTTTCATCGATGTTTCTATCTCTCTCTCTCTCACACTTCCTCTCTCTCTAAAATCAATAAAGAAAAAAAAAATCGCCCTGGCCAGTTTGGCTCAGCGGTTAGAGCGTCGGCCTGCAGTCCGGAGAGACCCGGGTTCGGTTCCGCTAAGGGCATGTGCCTCGGTTGCGATTTGTTCCCGGCCCTGGTTGGGTCGTGTGGGTGGCAACCACTCGATGTGTCCCTTTCACGTCGATGTTTCTCTCTCTCTCTCCCTCCCACTCTATCTGACAAAATATCAAAAAAAAAAATGTCCTCGGGTGAGGACTAAAGAAAAAAAAATCACTGTGACTTTTGGAAACTAAGTTGGTAGTGTAAATGAAGAAACATAAAAGATCGTATCTCTTAATGTAGCAATACTTTTAGGAAACTAGCCTAAAGAAATAATCAGAAAAATAAGACAAATATCAGTCTACAAGGATATGAACTGTAGCATTTTAAATATATATCTAGATAAACAGATTTTTTAAAAAAACTTTTCCCCCCTCTAGCTAGAAAAGCAATACATTTTCATTGTAAAATGCTAATAAAATTATAAAGAATTCCACAATCCTACCACCCAGAAATAACTATGAACATTTTGGTAAATAATCTTTCAAAACTTTATGTATGAAATGTAAAAAACTTACATTTATAATTATGTAAAAATATTTTAACCAAAAATGGGATCATATAATACATAGTTTTATAAATTTTTTCTTAATAACATATATGAACATCTTTTTATGTCAATTCATATAAGTTTGCAACATCACTTTTTTTAAAATGTTTTTTTATTGATCTTTTTTTAGAGAGAAGGAGAGAGAAATAGAAACATCGATATGAGAGAGAAACATCAATTGGCTACCTCCTGCACACCCCCTACTGTGGATCAAACCTGCAACCCAGTTACATGCCCTTTGGTCCCCGGGCCAGCACTCTAACTGGCTGAAGCAAACCAACCAGGCTGAAACATCATTTTTGATGGCTGCATACTATTCTACTGACTAAATATACCACCATTGGTTTAACCAATAATCAATGTATAGTTCATTTATAAGAGCAAAACCAGAAACAATAGAAATGTGCAATTGTGTGAACGAGGACACACATCTAATCTATACAATATTATATAGCCATTAAACACTATATCTAGAAAAATTTTGAAGACATGAGAAATGCTTATGATATAATGTTAAGCCAAAATGACCAGATCCAACATTATATGATATCAACCATATGAAGGAAAATGGCACAGGGACAGCCAGACAGGAGGCAAAAGATGTGAGAACCTAGGTTTCAAAGGACAACCTCAAATCTCAATGCCAGGGATTCTTTTTAATCTTCACCCAAGGATATTTTCCTATTGATTTTCAGATAGAGTGAGAAGGAAGTAGGGAGGGAGAGAGAGAGAGAAACAGTCACACTGATTAGTTGCCTTCCGCACGACCCCAACCAGGGCCAGGGGTTGAACCGCAACTGAGGTACATGTCCTTGACCAGAATCATCACCCGAGGACATTTTTTCATTTTTTGTTCAGATAGAGCAGGAGGGAGACAGAGGAGGAGAGAGAGAGAGAAACATCGACGTGAAAGGGACACATCAAGTGGTTGCCACCCACACGATCCAACCAGGGCTGGGGACAAACTACAACCAAGGTACATGCCCTTAGCGGGAACCGAACCTGGGTCTCTCTGGACCACAAGCCAATGCTTTAACCCGCTGAGCCAAACCAGCCAGGGCGTCCTTGACCAGAATCAAACCCGAGACTCTTTGGTCCGCAGGCTGACACTCTAACTGCTGAGCCAAACAGGCCAGGGCTCAATGCCAGAGATTCTTTCAGGTTGCTTCATTCCTTCCCTTGTGTTTCAGGATGGTTATTCCAACCCCATTCTCTCTAAGCCTTGGTTTTCTCATCTATGAACCAGCAATAATAAGACTCAGCTCGCCCGGCTGGGGTGGCTCAATGGTTGAGCGTCAACCCATGCACCAAGAGGTTTCCGGTTCAATTCCTGGTCAGAGCACATGCCCAGGTTGTGGGCCCAATCCCCAGTGGGGGGCATGCAGGAGGCGGTCAATCGATGTTCTCCTCATCGATGTTTCTCTCTCTCCCTCTCACTTCCTCTCGCTCTAAAATCAATACAGAAAAAATACTAAAAAATAAATAAGACTCAGATGAAGGGCTGGTAGACAGATTAAAAAAGATTTAAGCAAATCTGGTACCAGGCCTGGACGCTGTAGGCCTTCAGAAATTAATGGTTTCTCTATACTCTTTCTCAGTGCCCTGTGGCAGACTGGCTCTGAGCCCAGCCACAAGTTTCCCATGAGTCCTTGCACTTGTGGGCTGGTTTGGAAGGAATGTTAACCCCGGTGAGGGACCCCTACTGGGTGAGAAACCAGGCCCAGTCCTAACCAAGTCACCACGCAGGACCCAGGGTGGAAAAGCAGGTGTGAGGCCCGGCCTTACCCTTCTGGTGCTCCAGCTCCCCGAGGACAATGTACAGGGAGCCCACCTGGGCTTGGAACGGCTCCACCAACTTGGTGCAGACGAGGATCTGGTGCTGGTCTGACCCGTGCTGGGCTGTCAGGGTCACTCGGGACTGGGTCATGTTGTAGAGGCACATCCTGGAAGTCAGGAAAAGCGTGATTGTTTCTCTCCATTGACACAACTACCACAGCTTCAAAGGTTTGGGGAGACCAGTAAGTCCAGGGGGAAATGGTCAGCCTTACTTGGATCAGACAACATCAAAATGGCAGCAACAAATAAGAGAAACTGTTTCCAGTCTAGAGTGCTGAGGTATAAATTACATGCATTAAAAGGCACCTGTCCCCCCAAAAAAACCTCTCTAGTGAGTCTTGACAAATATAGACACTTGGTGTAACCACCACCCCAGCAACATTTAGTTCATTTCTCTGGACCGCAGGCCCATGCTCTCACCGCTGAGCCAAACGGGCCAGGGCAACGTAGTACATTTCTATCACCCCAAAGTTCCCTTGTTCCCCTCTGAGGTCAGTTGCCCCATCTCCCACCCCAGGCAACGACTGATTTGCTTTTGGCCTCTACAGAGGAGTTTCCTGCTCAATCTCACACGAGAGGAATTCTAGCGGCATGGTCCTAGCTTCTTTCACTCAGCGCAATGGTTTTGAGATCTGCTGACGTCGCTGGGTAAGTCAGTACTCTGTTCCTTCGCATAGCTCAGTAGCACTCTGTTGAATGGATAAACGAATGTGTGTGTACAAACATCCGTCGTTCAGCAACATGGGCTGCGATGACTATCCCTTCTTCCATTACAATGATGCCTTCATAGAAAATCAATAGATTTTTTTTTTATCCTCACCTGAGTACATTTTTCGATATTTTGTTCAGATAGAGTGAGAGGAAGAGAGAGAGAAAAACATCGACGTGAAAGGGCCACCCACACGACCCAACCAGGGCCGGGGACAAACTGCAACCGAGGTACATGCCCTTAGCGGGAACCGAACGTGGGTCTCTCCGGACCGCAGGCCGATGCTCTAACCTCTGGGCCAAACTGGCCAGGGCGAAAATTAATAGATTTTGGTTAAGTCAACAGACTATGGTTAAATAAATTATGATATATCTATGCCATGAAATAAAATGGATCTATTTAAAGTGGTGATGGCATGGAACTAGGTCTACCATACACAAGTAAGTAAATAATAAACGATACATATCTAGGTTCAAATATTTCTCTCTACATGGACATATATGTCTCCAAGAGAGTCCCCAGTGATTCTTGTCTCCTGGCATGTGCATCCCTGGTGTAGTTCCCTACCACCCTTATTAGCAGTGACCCATGCAGCCGACAGGATACTGCAGAAATGCCCGAGAATGACCTCTGAGTTCAGGTCATAGAAGGCACTGTGGCTTTCTCTCTGTCCTCTCTGTGGGATCACTCATTCCAGGGAAACCTGTGGTCTCATGACGACCTGCGAACAGCCCTGAGGAGAAACCTACATGGCGAGGAACTGAGTCTTACCTACAGGAGCCAGCACTAACTCACCAAACAGGTGAATGAGTCACCTAAGAAGCAGATCCCCCAGGGCTGGCCCAGCCTTCAGATGTTGGCCCAGCTAATCTACTCCCAAGTTCCTGACCCACAGTAACTATGAAATAATAAGTTTTTGTTTTGCTTTGTTTTGTTTTATTGACTTTTTTTTAGTACTAGAGGGAGAGGGAGGAAACATTGATGTGAGAAACATCGATAGGTTGCCTCCCATATGTACTCCTGCAGGGGATTGAACCCACAACCTGGGTACGTGTCCTGACTGGGAATCAAACCTGCAACCCTTAGGTGCAAGGACAACACTCAACCAAGCCACACTGGTCAGGGCAGAAATAACAAGCTTTTGTGATCATTTTAAGCCACTAATTTTGGGGTTATTTGTTACATGGCAATACATGACTCATACAGTATATATGTATGTCTACGTGTGTGTGTGTTTGTGTGTGTGTGTATATATATAGTGTATATATACCCACCCACATATACATACACACACACATGAACAAGTGTGTAAAATAATCACCAAAAGATTAGCAATGGTTGCTCAGACAGTGATATCACAGGTGATTTTTGCTTGCTTTCTTTACACGTTTATGGATCATATATATATATATATATACATATATATATATATATATATATACACATATATATATATATGTATATATATATTATAATCCTTTCCCAAGGATATCTTTCCATTATTTTCTAGACAGAATGGAAGGGAGAGAGGGAGAAACAGACAAATACTGATGTGAGAGAGACACACCAATTGGTTGCCTCCCACACAACCCCTCACCAGGGCCGGGGAATCAAACCTGCAACCCAGCCCTGGCTGGTTTGGCTCAGCGGTTGGAGTGTTGGCCTGTAGACCAGAGAGTCCCGGGTTCGGTTCTCGCTAGGGGCATGTACCAAAAACAAACAAACAAACAAAAAAAACCTGCAACACAGGTACATGCCCTTGACCGGGAATCGAACCTGCGACCCCTTGGTCCACAGGCTGTGGATTGTCTACATTTTTTACAATGAATGCATATTAAGTTTTTAGCATTTTAAAAATAATTAACCCGGCCAGTGTTGCTCAGTGGTTGAGCATCGACCCATGCACGAAGAGGTCACCAGTTCAATTCCCAGTCAGGGTACATGCCCAGGTTGTGGGCCTGATCCCCAGTGGGGGGGCCTGCTGGAGGTGGCCAGTCAATGTTCTCTCTAATCGATGTTTCTATCTCTCTCTCCCTCTAAAAATCAATAAAGGAAAAAAAAATTTAAACAAAACATTTAAAAATAATTAGACAAGCCCTGGCCGGGTAGCTCAGTTGGTTAAAGCATCATCCTGATACACCAAGATTGTGGGTTTGATCCCCAGTCAGGGCATATATTAGAATCAACCAATGAATAAGTGGAACAACAAATCCATGTTTCTCTCTCTCCCTCTCAACCTCTTCCTCTTCCTTTCTCTCTCTCTCTCTCAAAAAAAAAAAAAAAAAAATCAATCAATAAAAAATTTAACAACAACAAAAATTAAACAAAATTATAAGACTATTTTAATAGTTTTTGGTTTTTTTTTGCGGGGGGAGCTACTTAAACATTCCCCTACCTTGTGAAAAAACCACCACTCTCACCTGCCGAATGTCCTCAGTGTGCCCCCATCGGGAACTTGGCCGGCACTGACCTCCCAGGGGAAGTAATAGATCCCAGGTTTGGGCAGCGTCATTGGCTCCTGTCTCCAGTGGTTTGGGATGGATTTTTGAAGATGTCTGACAAACCAAGCAGAAACAAGGCGGAGATTAACAGATGCCTGAGACACAACATCTGAAGGGCTAGTTCCAGTGGGTGGTGGTTTAAAAAATTAAAAAACACATCTTTTTGATAGGTTCTGCCTACCCAGATTTTGAAAAACCTAACAACATACAGAAGCTGTGCGTGGAGAAGTCCTGCTCCCACTCCAGCCCCTGGGCAACCCGCCCCTTTCCTTCTCCGCAGACACAGGGTCTGCCACAGGGCAGGCAGCTGTCTGCGACCTGTCACACTGCTCACTCTGCGGCCGCCGTGGGCAGACACGCACAGACGACAATGGGCCAAGGAGCGCAGCGTGATTTCCCGTGTGCTGTGGATCCTGACTTTTTTACTACTATATTCTGACATTCTTTCATAGTTGTACAGAAAGGGAGTCTTCATGTTTTTTTAAATAAACATTTTATTTTCAAATAGTTTTAGATTTACTTTTATTTAAAATATGTTTTTAGCCCTGGCCGGTTGGGCTCAGCGGTTAGAGCGTCGGCCTGCAGTCGGGAGAGACCCGGGTTCGGTTCCCGCTAAGGGCACGTACCTCGGTTGCAGTTTGTCCCCAGCCCTGGTCAAGGTCGTGCGGGAGGCAACCGGTTGATGTGTCCCTCTCACGTGATGTTTCTCTCTCCCTCCCTCCTGCTCTATCTGAACACAAATGGAAAAATATCCTCAGGTGAGGAATTAAAAAACAAGACAAGCACAGCTGGCCCCATAAATCATTATCCACATATTATCACACAGTCAATGAAGTTTCCGAGATCTATCAGGACAGTCCTGGCCGGTTTGGCTCAGCGATTAGAGAGTTGGCCTGAGGTCCAGAGAGGCTCAGGTTCAGTTCCTGCTAAGGGCGTGTACCTTGGTTGCAGTTTGTCCCCGGCCCTGGTTGGGTCACACGGGTGGCAGCCACTCGATGTGTCCCTTTCACATTTATGTTTCTCTCTCTTCCTCTCTCTCTTTCCCACTCTACTTGAACAAAAAAATGGAAAAGTGTCCTCTGGTGAGGATAAAAAAACAAAAAAGATCTATCAGTACGAACTTCTCTTGTGACTCACCTGGATTCCTACTAACCTCCCTAGAAGTCTGAGTATTGGTGCACCTGTGATTAAGGGCCCTTTTCATTCCCCAAGGCACTTCTGGGAGAAGGATCCCTGGTAGGAACGAGAGGAGCATTCTCCTTTGCAAGGACTGGGAAGTTCTAAAATACTGTACAGAAAGGATGGTGAACCAATCTGACTACTTCTTTCTTTTCTTCTGAAGCAATTGCCAAGATTTCTGTAGTAGGATTTAAGGTCAGAGAAGTAACACCTGTAACCAAATTCATCATAACTTGTATCAGCTTTGGGTTTGTTTCCTGATGACAAGAATCCACAATTTGATTCCATTACTGGTCTATTAGGCAAGGATATAACTCAGGACCAGCCCGGGAGAGCACAGGGCAAGGTGCGTGGGAAGGGTGGGGTGCTTCCACGCCCTGTGAGGGCACCTTTCACCCACATCTCCACATGTTCACCAACCCAGAAGCAACTCATTGATGTTTCAGAAGTTAGAATTCTTCAACATGAAAAGTGGAGTTACACCACGTGATTGGAACTAGGGCCTCATGAGGTTCTAGCATGTGGGGACTACAAATGTTACATGTAAGCTCAACTAAATGAATCCCACAGTAACCAAATAGAATGATGATTTTACCATGTCTTTAAGAGTTTTCCAATCACCAGAGGAAAATGTATTTAGAGAATCATCCATGGATGCTAAAGGTGCTGGGTACAAGTCTGATGAGACACAGGATGTTCACACAGCTCCCCACGGATCACTTATTCATTACAAAGAGCAAAACGGTCCACTTCAGCAAAGAAACTTAGCAAATACAACCTTTACCCACCTCCTGGGTATGATGCACTGAGACAGAAAGTCGTTTTTGTGGTATTCCTGCCCAAAAAGGCCTAATCTGATTCTAATCATGAAGAAATATCAGACGAATCAGAACTGAGGGACATTCTACAAAGCCATTGGCTTATTCACTTCAAAAGTGTCAGTCACAGAAGACAAAGAAACTGCTCCAGTTATGTTTCTCTCTCTCTCTTCCTCCCTCTCTCCCTCCTGCTCTATCTGAAGATAAATGCAAAAATGTCTTTGGGTGAGGATAAAAAATTTAAAAAAGAGAATGTTTGCCCTGGCTGGTTTGGCTCAGCAGTTAGAGTGTTGACCCTCGGACCAGAGTCACAGGTTCAATTCTGCTCAAGGGCACATACCTCAGTTTGGGTTTGGCACCCCGCCCTGGTCGGGGTTGTGCGGGAGGCAACCAATCAATGCGTCTCTCTCACATCAACGTTTCTGTGTGTGTGTGTGTGTCCCTAACTACCACCCTATCTGAAGATAAATGGAAAAATATCCTCAGGTGAAGATTTTTTTTTTAATGAAAATAAAAAGGAGAATGTTTAGACGCAAAGACAGACACGCACGCTGGGAGGCGGCCACATGAAGATAAAAGCAGAGGTCGGGGTGATGTGTATACAAGCCAAGGAACCCCAAAGATTGCCAGCAACCACCAGAAGCAGACCCCCCCCACCCCGGCCGCAGAAGGAACCACATCTTGATACTGGATTTCACCTCCAGACTGGGAGACAATACATTTGTCTTTCCGCTGCCCAGTCTGGGAGGTTTTGTTACAGCAGCCCCAGCAAACCACACAACCAAATGCAACTCCTCCTGGACTGGATCTTGGTTGGGAGAAAAGATGATGATAAAAGATATTATTGGATGACTGTAAATCCATGAAGAGGTTTGTAATGAGATAGTAATAGCATTGTATCAATGTTAAATTCCCTTAATTTGTTCTCCTGTTTTCTTTGTCCATGTAAGTATTTAGGTGGGTCCTTGGGGGGAAAGGAAATAGGCATAGGGTGGGGGATGATGGGTTTTTATGGTTTGTTTGTTTTTTTGTTGTTTTTTTTAAATCCTCACCCAAGGATATTTTTCTATTTATCTTCAGATAGAGTGGGAGGGAGAGAGAAGGAGGGAAAGGAAGACAGAGAGAAAAATCCACATGAGAGGGACACACTGACAGGTTGCCTTCCACACAACCCTGACCAGGGCCGGGAGAATCCCAACCAAGGTACGTGCCCTTGTCTGGAATCAAACCCGAGACTCATTGATCTGTGGGCCGACGCTCTACCACTGAGTCAAACTGGCCAGGGCAGGAAACATGTTTTTAACCAGAACCAAGTCCCATGGCTTCAATGCCATCTCCAAGCCCCTGCCCCACCCCCACCCCTGATAGCACCACTGTCTTCCATCTGCTCAAGTTCAGCAGTCATTCTTTTTTTTCCCTTTTATTGATCACAGAGAGAGGAAGGGAGAGGGAAGAGAGAGATAAAAACATGGATGAGAGAGAACATCGATTGGCTGCCTCCTGCATGCCCCCCACTGGAGATTGGGCCCACAACCTGGGCATGTGCCCTGACCAGGAATCAAACTGGCGAGCTCTTGTCACCTGGGTTGACGCTCAACCACTGAGCTACACCGGCTGGGGCCCAAGTGATATTTTAAAATAGAAAATATGGCATAAGGAATGCTTTTTTGCCAAAACCTCAAGTCTGAATCTAATAAAGCCTTAGACCTAACTAACAGCTTGCAGAAAACACAGAATCAGAGGAACATGTTAAAGGTATCACAGTGATGAAAAAACCCAGATTGTGGGAAATTCTCATTAAAAAATGGCCTACCCCAGCTGCTGTGGTTCAGTGGTTGAGCATCGACCCATGCACCAAGATATTGCCAGTTTGATTCCCAGTCAGGGCACATCCCCAGGCTGTGGGCCAAATCCCTAGTGGGGGGCATGGAGGAGGCGGCCAGTCAATGTTCTCTCTCATCGATGTTTCTATCTTTCTTTCCTTCTTATTTCCTCTCTCTCTCAAAATAAAGAAAAAAAATAATTTTTTTTAATGGCCTAGCCATGCTCTTGCCAGTATGGCTCAGCAATTAGAGCGTCAGCCCTCGAACCAAAGAGTTGTGGGTTCGATTCCAGTCAAAGGCATGTACCTCGGTTGCAGTTTGATCCCTGGCCTTGGTTGGGGTCGTGTTGGAGACAATCAATCACTGTGCAATGTGTCTCACTCACATTAATGTTTCTTTCTCTCCCATCCCCCAACTCTATCTGAAAATCAATGGAAAAATATCCTCTGGTGAGGATTAAAAAAAAAAATTGCCTAGCCTGGTTGGTGTGGCTCAGTGGATAGAGTGCTGTCCCATGGACTGAGAGGTCCCAGTTTGATTCCTAGTCAGGCACAGGCCCGGGTTGTGGGCTCAATCCCCAGTGGGGGTGTGCAGGAGGCAGCCCATAGATGTTTCTCTCTCACATCGATGTTTCTATTTCTCTCCCTTCTTCTCTCTCTAAAAATTCAATAAAAACATATTTTTAAAAAATGGCCTAGATTTTTCAGCAATTGACTTGAAGAGAAAAATAATGTGTAGGGTAATATAACCTTTACACTAAAAGAAGCTTACAATTCATATCAACCAACTACAATGTGTGGACCCGGATTTGAACAGAACAACTATAGATAAGTTTTTTATGAAATAGGCAAATTTGGATCTTAATTGGATCTGTGATGACAATAAGAAATTTTTGTGAGTGAGTGTGATAATGGTATTGTGATTATGTTAAAAGTAGTTTAAAGATATATATTAAAAGTATTAAACATTTTTTAAAAAATTATATAAAGTTTATTTAGAAAATTTACAGTTAGAAGTGAGCCAGCTGGGTAGCACAGGCTCTGGAAACAAGTCATAGAAGTTATACAAGTTATAGAAGCAAAAGAAGGGTCGTTGGAGCTTAAGAGAAAGAAAGACAAAGGTAACTGGCCTGGGAGAAGAAGGGAAAGGGGTTGGCATGCTCCCCAAGAGGGAGAGTACCAGTATTTATATTATTTGTAAGGGTTTAAAATTTTCCATAATAAGACGTCTTACAATGTAAATCAAATCTCATAACTTCATTGAAAATATATTAAAGGCATCATAACTATTAAATTCAAAGTCTCTACACTGGCCCATAATGCCACCTGGTGCCTGGCCCACCTTTCTGCCCTTGTTTGCCACCACCCTCCCTCTAGCTCACCCTCATCAGGACCTGCACACTTGCTTCTTCTCAGACTTGAACAGTCTTCCCCAGACCTTCCCATTGCTGGCTCCCTGCACTTAGGCCCCAGTTCCCAGTTCCTCTACCTCTTCCTCCAGGAGGCCTTCTCTGTCCATCACAGCTAAAATAGCATTCTCTACACCCCAATCACTCTATCCCCTCACACTGATTTATTTTCTTCATTGTAGTCTACTAAGTAATAGAATTTCAAATAGTTATTTGTTGACTAGTTTAACGTCTATGCCTCCCACTAGACTATCAGCTCCATGAGGGCAGGATTCCGCATAATTCCACAGTAGCCAAAATAAATAATATTTAATGTCCGGGGGCATTAAAAATAGCATCAGTAATAATGCCTTCCCCAGGTACAGTGGAGCTTGAGACAAAAGGAACAATGAGTAATCATGATCTTATATTTATCTAAAATTTTGGTATTTTGTTCATTGTGGATTTTCTTGCATTAATTTTTTTAAATGTTGCATTAAAACACTATTAATCTTAATTAATTTTTTGGTGCTTCCTAACTCCTCTTACCCTACTCCCAGTACTGGAAGGAACAGAGTATTAAATGTATAGTTTTGTGGACAGGAAAAAAAAAAAAAAGGTTCTATGAAAAGTTAACCTCACCATGTAGGCTGATCATAAATAACTAACCGGGCAGGTCATCATAGTGGGTAGTCACATTCCAGGCCTATGACTTCTTCAGTAGAAGGTTTTAAGCCAGCCCTGTCCATTGCTCTTGTGCCTCTAAGTTAACACACCCTTGAAATAAGCAAAACCCCCCTCAAGAAAGCACATAATGTTGATAACTATCCTATATACCCCATTATTTTTTCCCACTTCCTTGTAATCTTCCTTACATTTTCTTCTTAATTTCAAATGCTTAAAAGAAGCTGCAAAACTGTTATTCTCCAGAGCATCTGAGATCTGACTTTCCCAAATATGTCCTCAGTTTGGCTTAAACAAACTCATAAAAATTCTCTACAGGTTTGGCCCTTTCTTACATTAAAACAACACAGGGGATTAAGTATGTTAATTCAAGTTATAAAGGTAAATTAGGGAGGTAGAAAGGGGATGGTGCAGAGTGCTGTATCTTCATCATCATGGCATAAAGTAAAAAACAAACAAGAAACAGCATTTAAGTATTTTACGTATCAATTTTTTAAGAATCAGAACTACAAGCACAACTGATTAGTAAAAGTGGCTGCTTCTGATGGGGAACTTGTGCTTTTCGTTACAAATCCTCCTGTACTGTTTTTAAAACGTGTGCATTTACAACTTTGATGACGACGATAATTGTGAAATTCCAAGATAGCCCAGGACAGGGCTGGCTGGGTCTCATTCCAAGCCCGCGCCCACCATCCCACACCCAGCTCAACGCCGCCTACGCCTCTGGCAGCAAACTGGAGCCTCTCTCCAGTGGTACTTTTTTCCCGGTCCTATTCTAGGACAGGAATCCGACAACTTCCCCTAACAGCTGCACGAAGCCCAGGGGCTCATCATCCCCAGGACCTTGAGTCTCCTTCCCCGCCCTTTTCCGCGAAGGCCTTTGCGAGCGGACCGGAAGCGGCAAGGCGGGCGAGGCCCAAGGAGCAGGCGCAGTCCTCCTCCGCCTTGTTGTCCCGCCCCCTCCCAAGCCCGCAGCCAACCTGTCTGGAAATCTCGGCGGTCACGTGATGTGGGAGGGGCGGTACCGAGCGTGCTTCGCTTCCCCCTCCCCCTGGGCAATTCCTTGAGCTGCTTCCGGGGTCTCTTCCCTGTTGTACCGGGGTCCGCTCTGGGGCTCCCCTGGCCGAGAGCTGGGGGACTCGTCCTCCCGGTGGCTGGCCCTCGTCACGGGACCACGCCGGCGCCGCCTCCCCTTGGCTAAGGGTGGTCACGCGCCGAGGGCGGTGGCGAAGAAGGGGCGGGCCGGGGGCGGGGCCTCGCGCGGCTCTTGGGTTGCTCTTCGGGCCCGGCCGGAGCTGGAGCTTCGGACAACCTGCTGCCGTCGCTGCCGTCGCTGCTCTCTCTGCCTCCGCTGCCGCCGATGGCTGTCACCATGAATGAGGACCTGCGCAGGGAGCGGGCCTCCGCCAGCTTCAACCCGGAGCTGCTCACGCACGTCTTGGACGGCAGCCCGGAGAACACCCGGCGCCGCCGAGAGATCGGTGAGGGCGGCGGGCCAGGCCTCCCCTCCCCGAGCAAGGGTTGAGACTCCCTCGATACAGAGGCTGGGGCGCTGTAGACCGTAGACTCTGGCCCAGCTTTAGGGGAAACGGCACCCCCACTTCTGGGTGGGGCTGGTGGCGGGGTGGGGGGGAGGTCGCCCCTCCGGAGAGGGGACCTGTGCCCTGTGACTCTGAAACCAGCGGCGATTCACGAGGGGTAACGGAGCCCAGAATGTCTGTCTTCGTCTTGATGCCCTTTAATCCCTTGCAGAGAACCTGATTCTGAATGACCCAGACTTCCAGCACGAGGACTTGAACTTCCTCACCCGCAGCCAGCGCTACGAGGTGGCTGTTAGGAAGAGTGCCACCATGGTGAAGAAGATCAGGGAGTTCGGCATCGCAGACCCTGATGAAATCATGTGGTTCAAAAAGTAGGTATACCTTAGCGAAGATCCAATGTTCATGGATAATAGAGGTCCAGGCTTTAAATCTGCCGTCAGTGGGTGCTTTGTCATCCCTCTTGGCCTGTGAAAACTCAGACCGGCATGCTTCCACAACTCCAAAGTTGTATGCGTGGAAGAAAGAGCTCCACTTTTGTGTTTAAGCCGCCGAAAAGCGTGGCATTGTGAAATGCTGATCATGAATTGGAGACTCAGCGATGACCATTCTCAAGAATCTTACGGATTCTTTCGGCCAGGAGTCTCGATTTTGAGTGATTTAAATTCAGAATGCCTTTGCTCTTGGTAGGAAGGAGGCCTGCTCAATTTAGGTGCTGAATTTGGAAGGATTTTTCCGTTGAAAGGCCAAACATTTAAATATTTTGCAGCAATACCATTTTTATATGATAGTGTAGATCTTGAGTTTTAGATAATGGAAAGTAGGGCATGGATGAAGAACATTAGTCAAATCTCAGAATGAACATAAAGTATTCTAAGAACTCAGCATTGTTGCATCTGGTGGCTGTGTTCAAATGGTTCTCTGTTGCATGTGAGACCTCATAAAAACATTTCATTCCGTGGTCCCAGGGCTGAACAGAGTACTTCCACTTTTCAGACCATTCGTTTTTTGTTGTGTTTTGTTCTTTAATTGGAAAAATACACTTTGTTTGTGTCTTTATCCAAGTAAACACTTTATAATTCCATGGTCTTAGTACAAGATTCCCTTTAGCCTGTAGCCCCCCTAACATTTCCCATTTATTCCTGGGTATTTCCTCTGTTAGGTTTCTGTATTTTAGAAGAACTCTGCTATTGTCATCAGTTAAAAATTAAATGAGCCCTGGCCGGTTTGGCTCAGCAGTTAGAGTGTTGGCCTGCGGTTCGGAGAGACCTGGGTTCGGTTCCAGCTAAGGGCACGTACATTGGTTGCAGTTTGTCCCTGGCCCTGGTTGGGTCATGCAGGTGGCAGCCACTCGATGTGTCCCTTTCATGTCGATGTTTCTCTCTCTCGCTCTCCCTCCCACTCTATCTGAACAAAATATCAAAAAAAAATGTCCTCGGATGAGGATAAAAAAAGTAAAGAAATAAATAATTAAATGACATGAGTGGTATATATTCAAGACCAAGAAAAAAGTGCAACATGTTGCAAGTTTTGCCTCTAGGTAGTAATGGTCATTCTTCCCATACTGTTGCCTCTAGTACATTTCATATTTAATTATTTTCAACTTTACCTCATTATTCTTGTCAAGATGACTATTCTGGCCCTTCGCACTATCTTCAGAATTCCTTTCCATTTTAGTTATAAAAATACAGTTAATTTATTTTTGGTAGCCCAAATTAGAATACTTACTAACTTCCAAATGCTGTATTTTTCCTTTTAAAGTTTGTGACTCATGACTGGGGGGACATTGAGGTGGAGCAATGATTTTTCTACCTTTTTTATTTCATAGCATACATAAACTAATTACTAAAATTCTGTGGCACACCAAAAATATGTTATATTTTTTTGCCAATCTGACAAAAAAAATAGGTGTGATTTTGATTCATTTACACCGGATGGCTATTGTTTTGTTGACTGTTGTCATTTTTTTACTTGACATTCTATAGGAAAAGAGGTCAGTGCCTCTGACTAAATAGTCAGGTATTGTGTGTTGTTGTTTGTTGTTGTTTTTTTCTCTGGACCGCAGGCCGACGCTCTAACCGCTGAGCCAAACTGGCCAGGGCTTTTTTTTTTTTTTTAATCCTCACCCGAGGACATTTTTCCATATTTTGTTCAGATAGAGTGGGAAGGAGAGAGAGAGAAAGGGAAACATCGACATGAAAGGAACACATTGAGTGGTTGCCACCTGCACGACCCAACCAGACCCAGGTTTCTCTGGACCGCAGGCCGACACTCTAACCACTGAGCCAAACCGGCCAGGGCTTGTATGTTGTTTTTTAAGAGACTTTTATTTATTTATTTTTTATCCTCACCGGAGGACATTTTTCCATTTTTTGTTCAGGTAGAGTGGGAGGGAGAGAGAGGAACAGAGAGAGAGAGAGAGAAACATCGATGTGAAAGGAACACATCGAGTGGCTGCCACCCGCACAACCGACCAGGGCCGGGGACAAACTGCAACCGAGGTACGTGCCCTTAGCGGGAACCGAACCCGGGTCTCTCAGGACCGCAGGCCGACGCTTAAGAGACTTTTAAAATCTTTATTTTTTTTTTATCCTCACCCGAGGACATTTTTTGTTCAGGTAGAGCAGGAGGGAGAGAGAGAGAGAGAAACATCGATGTGAAGGGACACATCGAGTGGCTGCCACCCGCACGACCAACCAGGGCTGGGGACAAACTGCAACCGAGGTACATGCCCTTAGCGGGAACCGAACCCGGGTCTCTCAGGACCGCAGGCCGACGCTCTAACCACTGAGCCAAACCGGCCAGGGCGCTTAAGAGACTTTTAAAACAATTTTGATTGATTGATTGATTGATTGATTTTAGGGAGGGAGAGAGAGAGAAACATCGTTGTTGTTCCACTTATTTATGCATTCATTGGTTGATTTTCATATATGCTCTGACCAGAGATGGAATCCGAAACTTTTCGCATGTTGAGACAACACTTTAACCAACTGAGCTACCTGGCCAGGGTTGGTATTACATGTTTTAAAAATTCTTGTGACAGCCCTGGCCGTTTTGTCTCAGCAGTTGGAGCGTCGGCCTGCTGACCAGAGAGTCCTGGATTCGGTTCCCACTAGGGGCATGTACCAAAAAAAAAAAACATTCTTGTGACATACCAGTGTGCCTTTTGCTACCCACCAGTTGAAAATCGCTGAGGTAGAAGCACTCTTTATAAGATACTGTTTCTGAATTACCCGAGTTAGGTTTATAAACCTTAAAATATTAATAAGACTTTATTCTTCCTAAAAATAACATAAAAAGAGTGATTTATTTTGTTTTTATTTTTTTATCCTCACCTTAGGATATTTTTACATTTATCTTCAGATAGAGCGGGAGGGAGAGAGGGAGGAAGAGATAGAGAAACTTCGATGTGAGACACACACATCGATTGGTTGCCACTCGCACAACTCCAACCAGGGCCGGGGATGAACCACAACCGAGGTACATGCCCTTGGCCAGAATTGAGCCCAGGACTCTGGTCCGCCGGCCAATGCTTTAACCACTGAGCAAAACCGATCAGAGCTCTTTATTTATTTATTTGCTTTATTGATTTTAGAGAGAGAAGAAGGGAGAGGGAGAGAGATAGAAACATCGATGAGAAAGAACATCAACTGGCCACCTCCTGCATGCCCCCCACTGCGGGTTTGGCCCACAACCTGGGTATGTGCCCTGACCAGGAATCAAACTAGTGACCTCTTGCTGCATGGGTCGATGCTCAACCACTAAGCCACACTGGCCGGACTGATTTTCTTTTAAGTGGTTGATGCGCCCTAGCTGGTTTGGCTCAGCAGTGTGAGTATCAGCCTGTGGACTGAAGGTTCCATTCCTGTCAGGGGCATGTATCTGGGTTGCAGGTTCGATCCCCGGCCCTGGTTGGGGTCATACAGGAGGCAACCAATCAATGCGTCCCTCTCACATAAATGATGTTTCTCTCTCTCTGTCCCTCTCTCCCTCTTCCCCTCTATCTAAAAATCATTGAAGAAATAACCTCTAGTGAGGATTTAAAAATATAAATGAAAAACAAATGGTTGGTGTAATGCGGTTCAAAGTTGCATAACGATTTCATAATCTGTGATGGTAACCAGACTGAAGTGAAGTCACAAGGAAATAGAACAAAGTCCTTTATATGGATTAAAATTTAGTGGACAGGCCCTGGCTGGTTTGGCTCAGTGGTTAGAGTGACAGCCTACAGACCAAAGGATTGTGGGTTCAATTCCCAGTCAAGGGCCTATACCTGAGTTGCAGGTTCGATCCCTGGCCCTGGTCTGGGTCATGCAGGAGGTAACCAGTTGATGTGTCTGTCTCACACTGATGCTTCTCTTGCTCATTCTCTCTCTCTCTCCCCCCCCCCCCCCCACACACACACACACTTTAAGAAATCAGTGGAAAAATACCCTCGGGTGAGGATTAACAACAACAAAAAGATTAGTGCACAGCAGACAGTTTTGTATATTTTCATGATGCCTTTGGGGACTAAAGGACAAACTTTAACATGACACTTGACATCTTTCCAATGTCTGTCAGATATGACAGGGAGATCAATTTATGTTAGATAAGGGGATTGAAAAGTAATTTTGAATAAGCTGATGAACAAAATAGACTCAGAGACATAGAAGTAGGGATCAGCCCTGGCTGGTTTGGCTCAGCGGTTAGAGCGTCGGCCTGCGGACCAGAGAGACCCGGGTTTGGTTTCTGCCAAGGGCACGTACCTCGGTTGCAGTTTGTCCCCGGCCCTGGTTGGTCGTGTGGATGGCAACCAGTCGATGTGCCTCTGTCACATCAATGTTTCTCTCTCTCTCTTCTCCCTTCTCTCCCTCCTGCTGTATCTGAAGATAAATGCAAAAATGTCATCGGGTGAGGATGAGGAAAAAAAAAAAAAAGGAAGAAGGGATCAGACTGACAAACCTCAGAGTGTGGGGGGGAGGCAGGGGAGAGATAAACCAAAGAACTTACATGCATATATGCATAACCAGTGGGCATAGACAATAATACTGTAAAGAGGGGTATGGGAGCAGGGAGGAGGGTGTCAGTGGGGGGGAAAGGAGAAACATCTGTAATAAAAATAAAATAAAAAGTCAGGACAGTCAGTAGATGACTAGATCAGATCCTGGCCCGTGGTGGAACAGGAAATTGATTTTGGAGTTCGACCTGGATGGAAATCTATGCTCCATGGTGTAGCAGTTGTGTCGCCCTGGAGGAAGTTGGTCTTTCTACGCCATGTTTTCCTGAACTCTGAAAATGAAGTGAAATATCACTGCATAGTGTAGTTTTGAGAAATAAATGTATTAATTTAATAGGAGGGAAGAAAGGTAATCTTGACAAGTAATGAATGCCATCAAATCCAAGCCTCCATTGATGGTAGCTCCCATGTTTTTTATACCATTAAGAAAATTAACTATGACGTAGCATAGGGTGTGAGATACATCAGATTTCTTAAATACTAAAATTATGGAGTTGTGCTAGAATTGATGGAAAACGGTAATATTTCTCTTTCTGGGAATTTTGGGCATTTACTGGTCTCTTTTACATCCATTTCCTCTATCAAAATACAACTTATGAGAGTATTGTGAAGTTGACTGAATATTAGTAAAATACTTTGAAATTTCTCAACTTGAGCAACAAAAGAACTTTTCAGTCCTTGAGAAAATAAGACCTTGCTGTTAGGGGAATAGAAAAGTTATTTTTCTAATCTTTCCTATAATTTTTTTTGGGGGGTGGGGGGTCTGTTAACTATACTGTTTGCTATGAAAAAACTATAGTAAATGTTCTTAAGGGTAATTTAAAATTCTAATGAGAATCACATGGTTTTTGTTATCCTTCTTAGGTTTATTTTTGTTTTTTGTGGGTTTTTCTGAGAGAAGAGAGAAACATTGAGTTGTTCCACTCATTTATGTATTCATTGGTTGCTTCTTGTGTGTACCCTGACCAGGGATTGAACCTACAACCTTGGTGTATCAGGACCACACTCTAACCAACTAAGCTACCTGGCAGGGCCCTTCTTAGATTTTTAAAGCTGGTTTCTTGTAAGGCATCTTCAGGAGGGATTCAACGTAAAACAAGCACACAGGCCCTGGCCAGTTTTGCTCAGTGGTTAGAGAGTTGTCCCTTTCACATCGATGTTTCTCTCTCTCTCCCTCCCACTCTATCTGAACAAAAAATGGAAAGATGTCCTCGGGTGAGGATAAAAAAAATAAAATAAAATAAAATAAATAAATAAATAAATAAAATAAAAATAAAGGGTCGCGGCATCAGGAAGGTTGAGAACCACTGCGCTAAGGGCACGTACCTCAGTTGCAGTTTGTCTCCAGCCCCTGTTGGGGTCGTGTGGGTGGCAACCAGTCGATGTGTCTCTCTCACATCGATGTTTCTGTCTCTCTCTCTTCCTTCCTCTCTCCCTCCGACTCTATCTGAAGATAAATGCAAAAAAAAAAAAAAAAGGCGCACAGATTTTGTTTTTGAGTTGATTTTCAAATGTACCCCTCCCCCCCAATCTCAGTATGTAATTAAGAACACAGATGTCTGGTAGTCTTTATTTTGTGTCACATTTCTCCCTCTCATTTTCTGAGAATTACTTTATTCCAGTGTCGTCATTTCATAAACCTAGAGCCTCAGCTCCCTCATGAAAGTAGGAATGTCTTATATTGGCCCCATTTTTAGCACCTAAATGGCTGCTTGTATTTCACAGAAATTCTTGTAAGCTCACTTCCTCCTTTGGTAAGAGCAGGTTGTCAGGGCGTGCTGTGGTGCTCTTGCCTTTGAGAATGACTTCTACACTTAACTATTTGTTAGGCTTCGGCCCCACTGCACTGAGGTGGCTGTGTTGGTGGAGATGTTACTTTCCTCCAGGGCAGCTAATCCGGGTTACCGAGAAGGCGGCTCACCCCTTCTGTTCATAGCCCTCCCCCACTCGCCTCCATTCGGTTTCAGTCAACACTCGCTGTTGCTGAGAAGCCATAGCACACTGATGATGGCTAGTCCAGGCCCTCCTGGGATGTTTGAGTCTGTCCCAGCACCTCTGGAAGGTGATCTCCCATCCAGAAGGTGGTGGGGTGATTCCAGGGCCTCCACAAAAGAGAATTGGCAGCCTACCCCCGTCCCTCATTCATGCTCTGGTTCTCTGGTTATACAGACCAGGACACTGCGCTGACACCACCGCCCCTTCATCTCTTGAGAAGTCGGGAACGTCAGTTGTTTATTTTGTACTTTAAGCCCTTTCTTTTTTTTCTTTTTTTTTTTTTTATCCTCACCAGAGGACATTTTTCGATTTTTTGTTCAGGTAGAGTGGGAGGGAGAGAGAGGAAGAGAGAGAGAGAAACATCGATGTGAAAGGAACACATCGAGTGGCTGCCACCCGCACGACCGACCAGAGCCGGGGACAAACTGCAACCGAGGTACGCGCCCTTAGCGGGAACCGAACCCGGGTCTCTCAGGACCGCAGGCCGACGCTTTAACCGCTGAGCCAAACCGGCCAGAGCACTTTAAGCCCTTTCAATAGACAGATGGAACAAAATGGACTCCTGTAAAATCTAGAACATAGTGTGGCCAAGGCTGACTATGTGATTTGTGTTTTGCCTGTTTCACAGATTCTGTTTGATGAGAAAATAGTTGGAGACTGAATTTCATTATGATTCAAGTTCCTTTATTTTTTATTTTTTATCCTCACCGGAGGACATTTTTCCATTTTTTGTTCAGATAGAGTGGGAGGGAGAGAGAGAGAGAGAAACATCGACGTGAAAGGGACACATTGAGTGGTCCCCACCCGCACGACCCAACCAGGGCTGGGGACAAACTGCAACCCAGGTACATGCCCTTAGTGGGAACCGAACCCACGTCTCTCTGGACCGCAGGCGGGTGCTCTAACTGCTGAGCCAAACCGGTCTGGGGCTCAAGTTCCTTTAATAGAGAAGTTGTCAGAGACCATTGGCGATAAGTGTTCGACAGGCTCACGTTGGCTGCTGACCCCTCTGTAAGCTCTGAAGGCCTTGAGGGGCCTGTGCTTCGGCCCCAGCACACGCGTTCGGCACCCTGGATGCATGGCTCGGCTCTCTAGGGAAAGAGCGACAACAGCCTTCTCTTTTCTTCATCTGTGATATTTTATTCTGTGTCTCTAACAGCATTCTGTTTAACATAGCCACAATAGCGTTGCTGTACAGAAAAAAAAATTCTTTAACATCATCAAATAACCAGTGTTCACTTTCCTGAATGTCTTACACTTTTTGACAGTTTTTTTTTAATTGGCTTTATTGGGTTGATGACATTGGTTAATAAATTTTTATAGATTTCACCCAGCCATGTGGCTCAGCAAATTGAGCGTTGTCCCATGGACTGAGAGGTCCCAGTTCAATTCCCCATCAGGACAAATGCCTGGGTTGCGGGCTAGATCCCCAGTAGGGGGCATGCAGGAGGCAGCTGATCAATGTTTCTCACGTGGATTTTCTTTTTTTTTCTTTCTTTTTTTTTTTTTTTTGGTACATGCCCCTAGCGGGAACTGAACCTGGGACTCTGGTCCACAGGCCGACGCTCCAACTGCTGAGCCAAACCGGCCAGGGTTTACATCAATGTTTCTATCTCTCCCTTCCTCTCTCTAAAAAATCTATTAAAAAAATGTGTTTTTTTAAATCCTTATCCAAGGATATTTCTATTTATCTTCAGATAGAGTTAGGAGGGAAAGGAAGGGAGAGAGTAACATCTACATAAGAGGGACACATTGACTGGTTGCTTCCTGCACGACCCCGACCAGGGCAGGGACAAACCACAACCAAAGAATGTGCCCTTGACCGAATCGAACCTGAGACTGTTTGGTCCTTGGGCCGACGCTCTAACCACTTAGCCAACCCAGCCAGGGCAATAAAAAAATATTTTTAAAAAATCATATAGGTGTACAATTCTATGATACATTATGTGCACGTTGTATTGTGTGATCACCACCCCAAGTCAGATCTCCTCCTTATAGTCTTTTTCAGGAGCTTTTGTGAGATCTATAAATAAGTGTTCTGTGGAGATCTTTTGCTTTTCAAACAAGTAAAACCTAAAAATAAAGACACTTCAAAAAATCAAACCAGTGCATAACACCAACAAAACCAAAAACCAAAGGTGTTTTTAGGCTACAACGATGGTAGAATTTGCTTCCTGGATTACATGTAGACTTAAAAGTGAATTCTGGTCCTGAAATGACAGGGGGCAGAAAAGACACCACTAGATTCTACTCTTGGCTTTTTAGGTAGTAAAATGGTGAATTTTACATTTAATTTCATAAGAGAGGGGTTCAAATTTTCCTAACCTTCCTCCTGAGGACCACATCTGGCAAGAAGGGATGGTAGAATGCAGTTTCTAGAGTAAGGCTGAGATCCTTTTCTTTTCTTTCCTGTAGACTACACATGATCAATTTTGTGGATCCTGTGGGCGTCCATTTCTCCATGTTTATTCCCACCTTGCTGAATCAGGGCACCACTGCTCAGCATGAGAAATGGCTGCTTTCCTCCAAAGGACTCGAGATAATTGGCACCTACGCCCAGACGGAATTGGGCCACGGTTAGTCCACATTTGAGGGTCAGTGGGTAACCCACCTCAGGACATCAATTAACAGATGACTCCTGGCATTTGTTTTTTTCCTGCTACTATACATTTGGGCTTTTATTTTTAAATTGTTAAATCTTAAATAAGATTCAGCGCCTCATCCTCTCATAAATCATTTCCCCGCTAACTGATCCAGGACTCTTCCCTGAAACATCCTCCATTGTTATTTACCATTGTTTCATACACCCTTTTTTTTTTTTATCCTCACCCGAGGACACCTTTCCATTTTTTGTTCACATAGAGTGGGAGGGGGAGAGAGAGGGAGAGAGAGAGAAACATCGACGCGAAAGGGACACATTAAGCGGCTGCCCCCCACACAACCCAACCTGGGCCGGGGACAAACTGCAACCAAGGTACATACCATTAGCGGGGACCGAACCCGGGTCTTTCTGTACCGCAGGCCAACGCTCTAACTGCTGAGCCAAACTGGCCAAGGCCATACATGCTTTTTTTTTTAATCCTCACCCGAGGACATTTTTCCATTTTTTGTTCAGATAGAGTGGGATGGAGAGAGAGAGAGAGAAACATCGACATGAAAGGGACACATCAAATGGCTGCCACCCGCACGACCAACCAGGGCCGGGTACAAACTGCAACCGAGGTACGCACCCTTAGCGGGAACCGAACCCGGGTCTCTCTGGACTGCAGGTCGACACTAACCGCTAAGCCAAACCAGCCAGGGCTTGGAAATTCTTGAGAGGGTTAATGCCTTTAGATAGATACCCCTGCTTTAATAAAATGTGGATTGTAATGTGGGCAGAGAATTAAAAATGAAGTGTCTTTTTCATTGTTCACTAGTGGGATTATAAGGTGGTTTGGAAAAAAGTCGATGGTTCTCTTTGTTTGTTTTGTACATCTTATCTATATATGTCCATGGACTTTGCATTATGAATAATTCTCAGTTATATTGTTCCTAGAAACCTGACTACTTTAAAAAAGTCTTGTGTTTGGTTTTTATGTGAAATAAGTTTGTTTTCATGACCAAGGCTGTTGGCAGGTTTGCATGTGTTGAATTTGCACTGCCTAGTCTCATTCCTAATTATCATATTGCTTCCATTATGTAAAGAAAGGAAAAGAGGATTTGTGAATTGGTTTAAGAAAATGCTGCTTGTAATCCCAGAGGACTGCAGATTCTGGTCCTGTGGTGTTCTGAACACCCTGTCAGACACCCAGGACCTGAGCTTCAGGATGGCCACTACCGCGGGAACCAGCCTGAGGAAAGGGGTCCTGAGGGAAGGAAAGTACTATTCATTCCATCTTCCTGTCTTCAAGGGGGTGGAAGGAGAGAGGGAAAGAGAAAGTTTTGTAATTTTGAAATAGCTTTGTCATACAGAACTTTTTTTCTCTTTCAGTATTTATCATTGTAGAATTTGACTTAATAGTCATGCTGTTCATAGGAGGTTTAAGATGTAAACTGTTCTGAGTCTGAATGGGTCTGATGTGTTTATCTCTTACTAGTCTAATCCTTCTTCCTCTTAATAAAGTACATTCCAAATATAGACTTGCCCTACATTTTGAAAGAAGAGAGGAAGAAATGAGACTTGAATTTCACTGGTCTGAGGAGTCCAGTAATTGGACTAAGGTCCTATGTTGCTCTGGGCATATTTGCATATGTTAGAGTTTTCTTTTCCTATTGCTTCTCGTTTGCAGATATTTTCTTATATTTGAACGAACTTTGTCTTAATCTCTCTAATTTATTTATTTTTCTTTTTTATCTTTATTGTTGAATGTATTACAGATGTTTATCATTTTTCCCCCATTGACCCCTCCTCCCCGCTCCTGCCACCCTCCTGCCTTTCCCCACACTGCTGTCTGTGTCCACTGGTTATGCATATAAGTTCTTTGGTTTATTCTTCCTACCCCCTAACCCTCTTCTCTTTGAGGTTTGTCAGTCTAGCAACCAGTTTGTTCTTTTTATTTATTTATTTTTTATCCTCACTTGAGGACATTTTTTCATCTTTTGTTCAGATAGAGTGGGGGATAGAGAGAGTGAGAGAGAGAGAAACATTGACGTGAAAGGGACACATCGAGTGGCCGCCACCCGCACGACCAACCAGGGCCAGGGACAAACTGCAACCGAGGTACGTGCCCTTAGTGGGAATCGAACCTGGGTCTCTCTGGACCGCAGGCTGACGCTCTAACCACTGAGCAAACCAGCCGGGGCCAGTTTGTTTCTTTTAATCCCTTCACCTTTTCACCCATTCCTTCAACCCCCCCTCCCATCTGGCAACCAACAAAATGTTCTCTGTATCTACGATAATGTTTCTGTTCTGCCTGTTCATTTTGTTTGTGGATTCCATTGTCGATAGATATGTATTTATTGCTATTTTGTTTGTTCATATATTTTATCTTTTTCTTCAAAAAGATCCTTCAACATTTCATATAATAACGGTTTGGTGGTGATGAACTCCTTTAACTTTTTTTTGTCTGGGATACTCTTTATATGGCCATCGATTCTAAATGACAGGTTTGCAGGATAGAGTAATCTTGGTTGTAGGTTCTTGCTTTTCATCACTCTGAATATTTCTTGCCACTTCCTTCTGGCCTGCAAAGTTTCTTTTGAAAAATCAGCTGAGAGTCTTATGGGAACTCCCTTGTAGGTAACTAACTGCTTTTCTCTTGCTGCTCTTAAGATTCTCTCTTTGTCTTGAACCTTTTGCATTTTGATGATGTGTCTTGGGATTTGTCCTGTTTTGGACTCTCTGTGCTTCGTTGTATGTCTGTTTCCTTCACCAAGTTAGGAAAGTTTTCTGCCATTACTGTTTATAATAGGTTTTTGATTTCTTGTTCTCTCTCTTCTCCTTCTGGCACCCCCAAGATGCGAATACTGGCATGCTTGAAGTTGTCCCAGAGGCTCTTTACACTATCCTCATTTTTTTGTATTCTTTTTTCTTTTTGCTGTTCTGATTGGGTGTTTTTGCTTCCTTATATTCCAAATCGATGGTTTGCTTCTTGGCTTTACCTACTCTACTATTGAATCTGTGTGAATTATTCTTTATTTCAGTTAGTACATCCTTCATTTCTGACTGGTCCTTTTTTATGCTCTTGGGGTCCTCACTAAGTTCACTGAGCTTCTCACTAAGTTCATTGAGCATCCTTATAAGTAGTATTTTGAACTCAGCATCTGTTAAGTTGTTTATCTCCATTTTGCTTAGTTCTTTTCCTGGAGATTTTTTTTCTGTTCTTTCATTTGGGACCTGTTTCTTTGTCTCCTCATTTTGACTGCCTCCCTGTGTTTGTTTCTGTGTATTACTTAATGAGGGGTATGGGACTAGCTGAGACCAGATGCAGCTTGTTTGAAAGAATTTAGGAAAACCTGAAGCAGGATCCAAGACAGGCCAATCCTATGGTTAAGCAAGTAGCAACAGCTTGGGTGGGCCTGAAAGTTGGGTGGGGCGGGGCCTCAGGGAATCAGCAGGGCGGGGCTACCAGTGTGAGCCAGGTTGCTGGAGTCCCAGATATGGCTGCTGTCTCCCACCCCAGGGAAGGCCTCACCAAAGGAACAAAAGCCTCTGACATCACATTTCTCTCCAGCCCTCACTCCAATGCCCAGTTCTTCCCTGTATGTCTCTGGTGCCCCTCGAGCTGTCTCCCCTCCAGGCTTAGAGGGAGAGAGTCTGATAAGTCCAGGCACGGGCCCTTTAAGGAGCTGCCTGGGGCTCCAGGTGCCTCAGCCTCAGTTCCCGCTGGTTTTTCCAGCCAGAAGTGATGGGGATTCTATTCCTGGCACTGGAACCCTGAGCGGGGCGCCTGGTGTGGGATGGGGACCCCTCAGTCCTCAGAGAGGACCTTCCCAGCCGAAGTGTCCTCCTGATTTTTTTTTTTTTAATCCTCACCTGAGGACATTTTTCCATTTTTTTGTTCAGATAGAGTGGGAGGGGGAGAGAGAGAGAGAGAGAAACATCGACATGAAAGGGGCATATCAAGTGGCTGCCACCCGCACAACCCAACCAGGGCCGGGGACAAACTGCAACCGAGGTACGTGCCCTTAGCGGGAACCGAACCCGGGTCTCTCTGGACCGTAGGCTGACACTCTAACCGCTGAGCCAAACTGGCCAGGGCTGTCCTGATTTTTATCCGCCACACCTGGGTGTGGGACCAGCCTGTCCACCTCCACCCCTCCTACCAGTCTCGATGTGGCTGCTTCTTTAATTTTGTAGTTGTGGGACTTCCATTCACCTCTATTTCAGGCGGTTTTGAATGATGGTTGTTCTGTAGTTTGGTTGTACCTTTGTGGTTGTAGGAGGACAGATACCGCGTTTACCTACCCCCCGTCTTGACCGGAAGTCTGTAGTTTACTTTAGAGCAGAGATTTTCAACTGGCCTGCCGAGGCACACTGGTGTGCCACAAGAATTTTTAAAACATGTAATACCTATTTAGTCAGGGGCACTGACCTCTTTCTTACCTTAGGTTGTCAAATAAAGAAGTAACAGCCAACACAGCAATAGCTGTCCGGTATAAATGAATCAGAATTGTACCTATTTTATTTTTTTGTCAGAGAGGGAGAAAATAGAATATATTTTCTGTTGTGCCGCAGAATTTTATTTTATTTATTTATTTATTTATTTTTATTATTATTTTTTTTTAATCCTCACCCGAGGATATTTTTCCATTTTTTGTACAGATAGAGTGGGAGGGAGAGAGAGGAAGGGAGAGAGAGTGAGAAACATCGACGTGAAGGGACACATCGAGCGGCCGCCACCCACACGACCAACCAGGGCCGGGGACAAACTGCAACCGAAGTACGTGCCCTTAGCGGGAACCGAACCCGGGTCTCTCCGGACCGCAGGCCGACGCTCTAACCGCTGAGCCAAACTGGCCAGGGCTTCTTTCTTTTTTTTTTTTTTATACAGATAGAGTGGGAGGGAGAGAGAGAGAGAAACATCGACGTGAAGGGACACATCGAGTGGCTGCCACCCGCATGACCAACCAGGGCCGGGGACAAACTGCAAAC